ACAGCTTGTGTGAATCGTCAAGAGCTGACTCTCTATGCAAAACAGAGGCAAGAAACATGCCTCTGTTATATATAACCAGCATGCTTAAGTCTCAGAATGCATGAAGGGGTTAAAACCATAGAGTAAGCTGTCCTGCCAGGCTTAGCCTATGTCACTTCTCCATACCTTGGGAGAAAATAGGTAAACAAGCCTTTTTGTTAATGCAGTCTCCATGTGAATGCTGGTATGTAAGGAGCTCTGAGCCACTCGCTCCAGCCAGCCGCATGGCTTTAACCAGCCTCTTTTGTTTCAGACCAGAATGGTGTCTGAAACGAGCATTCTTCTATCTACAGTGGTACCTCGGGTTACAGACACTTCAGGTTACATATGCTTCAGGTTACAGACTCCGCTAACCCAGAAATAGTGCTTCAGGTTAAGAACTTTGCTTCAGGATGAGAACAGAAATCGTGTGGTGGCAGCGGGAGGCCCCATTAGCTAAAGTGGTGCTTCAGGTTGAGAACAGTTTCAGGTTAAGAACAGACCTCCAGAACGAATTAAGTTCTTAACCCGAGGTACCACTGTATACCAATAGCTTAGAAACCATTTTGCAGCTTACAAAATGCGTGGTCTATCTCTGTGCAAGGGAAGTGTGACAGTTTGGAAAGAACTTTTAAAAGGTGGCAATGTTGGGGTTCCCTGGAAGGGCACATTTTAAAGATTCTTTTACAGCCTAAACGTCCACGCTTTCCCTTGTTGCATGTTTTGCGATGTTAAATCTCTGCTGGGATTATCTCACCAAAGAATGCATGCCCCAAACTTGGGTTTTGGCTTCCGGGATCCCAAGAGTAACTAAGCTTCACATTACGCTGTCATGAGCAATTCCTCTCATGGGGCAACTCTGGGAACAGTTTGCCTTGTGATGAGCAGAGGCACAGCAAATTGCAGTGAAGTACCTTTAGGTCCTGGACTCTACCCACCTAGGCTAGCTATTAAATTATCCAATGTTCCAGTTATTCCTTTTATCCTTTGGCCCTGTTTTCCGACTATCTCCATGCTTCTGCTTCCTCCTCTGCCTTCCCTTTCAGATCTGACATGCCCTTCAGCCCCGACTTCTGCCTTGTCCCAGGATTCCTGGTTTTTGACTCCTCTCCCTCTGTTCCCCGGCTTTGACATGCTAAGATTTCAGAGCATTGATTCTGCCTTCTGATCCTTTTCCGATCGTTTTGTTTTCCAACCTTGCGGACCAAAAGGACAGAAAATTTTGAGATCAGGCGGTTTTTGCATGAAGGAATGTCAATAATCCATGGAAAGTTTGCTTATTTATGAATGCTCCCCTTTGAGAGGCCACATCTAAATATTTATTTGTTTGATAGGGGGGTGGTTGTTAAACTTCCTACCTTCAGGAAACTTGGTTTGGGAGGAAGGGTTGTGGGAGAGCACATGGAGCCAAACTCCAGATAGTTTGAAACCCACAACTGCAGTGAATTCAACATGAATCAAAAAGCAGCAATTATACACCAATCTCTCCCCACCTTCCTTCTTCAAAAGTGGGAATTAAGTATACCGGGTGTATTGTAGGGCAGGGCAATATCTGGTCTTCAACACTGTGATAAACATCTCGATATATCTAGTCAGTAAGTTTACCAGATGTCCCCGTTTCCCGGGGACAGTCCCCGGATTTACAAATTAGTCACCATACAAAATCCATTGAAGTTGAAAAGTGTCCCCGGATTCATTGGAAAAAAAATCTGGGAACCTTACTATACATTATATCGCAATATCTGAAATAAGGATGGGGCTTTGCTAGTTTTGAGATTTTTCCTGTATTGTGATTTTTGCTGGCGCCTCCTCTTGTGATTAAATGTTTGGTGTAGATGTGACCTTAGTCTGCTTTGCTATACATACATACATACATACATACATACATACATTTCTCCCCCTTTTCTATATACAGTGGTACCTCAGGTTAAGTACTTAATTTGTTCTGGAGGTCCGTTCTTAACCTGAAACTGTTCTTAACCTGAAGCACCACTTTAGCTAACGGGGCCTCCTGCTGCTGCCGCGCCGCCGAATTCTGCACAAATTCAAGCACGAATTCTGTTCTCATCCTGAAGCAAAGTTCTTAACCTGAAGCACTATTCCTGGGTTAGCGGAATCTGTAACCTGAAGCGTATGTAACCTGAAGCGTATGTAATCCTAGGTAAAGGTAAAGGTAAAGGTACCCCTGCCCGTATGGGCCAGTCGTGTCCGACTCTAGGGTTGCGTGCTCATCTCGCTTATGAGGCCAGGAGCCAGCGCTGTCCGAAGACACTTCCGGGTCATGTGGTACCACTGTATAATACCTGAGGTACCACTGTATAATAAAGTTTATATCTATTTTCATCATTATTTTGTTTTTCCTTTTGCAAGCATGGTGGACAAAGAGAAATTGGACTGGGTCTGCTATGTTGGTCAGTTGCGTAAGAAAATTCAGTAAGTAACAAGTGATCAAGTAGTGAAGATTTGTGGTGACATACTGGAATATTACTGATTACTGCAGTCCTATCCATTCAGATGCTCAAGTGATAATTGCAGTTATTACGTGAGTTATGGAATTAGATAAATTGTTCTGACTCATCAGCTGAATCCTGATTTGCTGACATATTTGTGACAGAACTAGGAATTATCGGGTGCTTTTAAAAGCAACCACACAGATTCCTCAGAAGTTCAATTCCTGCTCTTTAATCAGAGAATGCTGCTTTCATTTCTCTTGTATAATAACAAGATCCATGCCTCATCCAATCAGGTTCAGGAGTTGTGTGTAGGTTCTTACGTTAAAGGAAATCAATTTTGTATCTTTTGAGCCTTGTATCATATCTTATACTCATTTGGGAGCATCCATTGTTAGAAAATCTTTGAGGTTAGTGCTGCAGTTAGAAGCTACAAAAGCAAATATTTTGAAGTCATTTGCTTTTCACGGATGTCTTTCCCTTGTGAAAAATACCGAGTGTCCAATTTATTTTAAATTAATTCCTAATTCCTCAAGAGCTGTGATTGCTGAGGATTTAATATCTCTCCCACATTTTTACTGCTCTGCTAATGGGCAAGGCAAAGCCAGCAGTGGTACCTTAGCTCCAGTTTCAAACCATAGGCTTCGGCCAGGCATGGGGAACCTGTGGCTCACCATAAGTTTTTATTCATTTATTGGGCTAACAACAACAACAACAACAACACCACCACACCAGGCTGGCTGATACAATAAAAATTAAAGGCTGTGAATACTTTTGAATGCAGAAAATAAAAATAAAAACCCATTACTGTCACGAATGGGATGAATCTTAAAGAGGAATGCTATCACATCTTCTTCAGCCAACCTAATCTATGGACAGATTGCAGATCTGGTACATATAAGTCCAGTTTTGAGCTGACTGCGAGTCTCAATTGCTGGTGACCTCTGGGTCCACGGCAGCCTGCCATCTTACATGCTGAAGCTGCCAAGGTAAGTCTTGGAGCACTACTGAGAGGGCCTTCTCAGTAGTGGCGCCTGCCCTGTGGAACGCCCTCCCACCAGATGTCAAAGAGAACAACAACTACCAGACTTTTAGAAGACATTCAGGGAAGCTTTTAATGTTTAATAGACTATTGTATTTTAATATTTTGTTGGAAGCTGCCCAGAGTGGCTGGGGAAGCCCAGGCAGATGGGCGGGCTATAAATAATAAATTATTATTGTTTATATTATTATTATTATTATTGGAGCAGAGAGGTGAAGAAGGCAGTGACAGGCAAGGGATTCTTTTGAGTTTGAATTGGACACTCCCACTAACCTCATGGGAGGGGTATTTCCAGGACTAAGGTGAAACACTGAATCTCCCTTGTTATTTTTGCTGTTGGTTGCTGCATGCGGTTCAAGTAATCTTGCTCTATTTATAGTATTGAAATGTGGTTTATTGAACGTTGTTATATTTTCATTTGCTGTGTTATTGTTGCTATGTTATAGTTTTGCTATATTATTGTGACATTGTTTTTGTTATGTACTGAAGTTCTCACCCTGGGCCAGCAGGGGGATACTGTAGATAGTTCAGGTCCACATATGCAAATAAGGGATCGAAAGTGACGTTCAGTGATTGGATAGTTACAGAAAGTGGTTACTGTTGCGCTCTAATGGAGCTCTATATAAGCAGGCTGGCTGAACCCTTCAGTTCAGTTCTGACCTGACCTGTGAATAAAAAAGAGCTGTTTGGAGAATCGCGGTGTCGTCTGATATGTTCACCCACAACTTAACAGTTTTGGGAATGTTTGTTTGAAATGCATTCTTGTTTCTTTGTTGTAAGCTGCTTTGAGCAGGATTGTGTGTGTGTGTTTTTCAAGTGACGGTTTGGGGACCCAAAACCCTCCCTTATCCCTTTCCTGCTCCCTTTCAAAGAGCCAATCTTCCTGCTTTTGCTTCTTTTCACTAGGCCAGCAAATTCAGTTTTACAGCCTGGTCGTGTTGCTTTCCGTAAGTTAATTGATAGCATGCTCTGACCTTTCCTACAGAACCTTCAGAGAAAAGAAAGTCTCCAATCCAAGATGCTGTCGATAAAATTAGAGGTGGATGTGAGTCATGAAATGCCGGATTCAGACCCCTCAAGTCTGCTTGAATGCAGCGCTTCATTGTGTGTTTGTGAAGTATGATATGAGGACATCGGGTTCAGCTGGCAATTACTTCCATTCCTCCCAACATCCTTGGTGATAGCATGCCTTTCTTGCTAGGCACTTCACAAGGACGACTGAATCACTCTGACTCATTTACATATGTCTATGGATAAGCAGAAGCAAACTCTCAAAGGGTTGGGAAATTAAACAAGACTCGAGCGTCAAAAAAGACAATGGAAGTTTCACACAACTGGTGGGAAGACGTCAAGGGCACGCATGGTTATGTCATCATCCATCACTGATGATCGGCCATGCTGGGAGTTGGTGTCCATCAACCTCTGCAGGGCCACACACTCCCCCATCCTTGGTTTATAGCCTTGGTCTTCAACAGAACCCACAAAACGAAGGATAGCTCAGTTGGTTAGAGCATGGTGCTACTAATACCAAGGTTGCAAGTTTGATCCCCGTATTGGACAGCTGCATATTCAGGTTGGACAAAATGACCCTCAGGGTCCCTTCCAACTCTATGATACTATGAACTGGGGCAACTGCCATACTTCCCCTCCCTTCCTATGGTGACATCATGTCCCCTGTAACCCTGGCAACCTCCCCCTCCCAATTCTTATGTCTATGTCCATTACTGAAAGCCAGGGGAAGGGGAAGGACAGTATTTACATTGCTCTTAATGACCCAGTACTCTGCTCTCTTTGTCTTTTAATAATACCTCTGTCAAGAATGATGCTGCTGCTGCTGCTGATTTATTGATATGCCACCCATCTGACTAGGATCATGGGTAGGCAAACTAAGGCCTGGGGGCCAGATCTGGCCCAATCACCTTCTCAATCCAGCCCATGGACGGTCCAGGAATCATTGTGTTTTTACATGAGTAGAATGTGTCCTTCTATTTAAAATAATTAATAAAATAATAATAATAATAATAATAATAATAATAATAATTGGGCAGCTTCCAACAAAATATTAAAATACCTTAATACATCAAACATTAAAAGCTTCTCTAAACAGGGTGCATCTCTGGGTTATTTGTGGGGCCTGCCTGGCATTTTTACATGAGTAAAACGTGTGCTTTTATTTAAAATGCATCTCTGGGTTATTTGTGGGGCATAGGAATTTGTTCATTTCCCCCCCCCAAAAAAATATAGTCCGGCCTCCCCCCCCCCACAAGGTCTGAGGGACAGTGGACCGGCCCCCTGCTGAAAAAGTTTGCTGACCCCTGGACTAGGTGGCCCCAGCCACTCTGGGAGACTCCCAGCAACACATAATGAAAGCACAAGAAAGAAAGCTAAGAAAGAAAACAAACTCATATCAATAAATTATCATCTTCATCCTTCTTGACAGAGGTACCATTAAGAGATGGAGAACCTGGGTTGCTCTTCAGGCATCATTGGACTCCAGCTCCCACTATAATTGACTCTTCCTCGACCTACGATTGTCCTCCCTGTCTTCCTCTCTACCAGTTCCCAATGTACATCAACCACCATGGCTGGAATTGAACCTGGAACCTGCTGTGCGGGAAGCATGCATTCTACCACTGAGTTATAGCCCTTCCCCACATCCCTATCAGACAGATAGTATTTTTTTTTTGAAGAGCTCCTGTTAGTGCTATGTGGGATATCTGGCTGGGGAGAAGAGTCGCAAATTGTGCAGTCTAGCATTATCTGATGGAGCATGTTCCTTCATCTCCTCTAAATGTAGAAAACGATTCTGTTTTAATCACTGAACTCCCAAATCCCTAGTGAAAGGAGATAAAAAAAAAATTGAAACCAAAAGTTTTTAACTAGAAAGTAATGGCAATTCCAAAGTAAATTACAATAGGAATGCGTTTCTTTGAAAGTAAAGATCACAGCTGCACGCTATATATGAAAATTATAGCTGTATTTGGAATGTTCTTTTTTGTGTGCAGTTTCCATGAAAGACAGAGTTAAAAAAAGATACTTTCTCTCCCCGCAGTTCAATATTCCTTTTTAATCTTTTGAAAAGCAGTCAATGACCCACCACCCTAGACTTAGAGGAACGTAATTAAGCCATTCATAATTTGTGTGCCTAATGAAGTACTTCTGTTGGGACTAGCAAAGTTGGGTTTTGTTCAGCAACATCAGCAGGAATTAGACATTCCCTCCGAGACTTGGGTCTCTTATAGGAAAAACAATTATGTGCTAAGAGCCAGATCTTCAAACTGACGGGATCCCAATATAGTTGGCATTTGGCTTGTCAGTGTTGTCAATCAGCTCAAGCTACAGTGTCTCAAGTTATGACCAACGTTCCTACAGGTGACACTTAGTCCCTTTCCTTGGGTAGTTGTGCTGAGCATCGATGCCAGTTCTTGGATCCTGGGCAACTCTGCACACATCTGGGTCCTGCAGTGGGACTGCTGAGATAATTGACTTGAACAGGAAGTGCAGCCAGAGGTAAGTTCAGTTGAATGCCAATGACAGCAACAACAACATTAATCCATTGGTGGTTTTGCAGCAGGAAAAAGCAAGCCCATCCATACAAGACAATGTGCCTTGGTTTTTGCCAGTGCTGTAGATCTCTGTAATATTTGCTACACTATTCCAAAAGGTCTTTCAGCACTTAGGAGCAGCTTGTGATGGGGAAGAGCTATAGTGTGTGGGCAGCAAGGCAGGAAGCGTGTTGCTGTGGCCAAGAGCCGAAGGGAAATGCTGACCTTATATCCCTTCCTGGCTCTTGCCACCAGGTGCAGTGAGTTACCAATTGGCCTCACCGTGCCTCTTCAGAACAAACCTAGGAAGGCCCCAGTCCTGCGAAGCCCTACTGGTCACAGGGCCTGGCTCCTGCACGCACTCCTGACAGACAAGCTCTGGCTCATCCTTCTATCCAAGCTCATTGGTGGCAGCACAGGCAGGGGAAATAGGGACATTCCAGGATCAAAGCCGAAGCCGGGGTTGCTTCTGTAATTCCGGTACTGTCGTGGAAAACTGGGACGCTTGGAGGGGATGGCATCAACCTGCCGAATGGTAGACCTGGCCCTGTGACTGAAGCACAACACAAAATTGGATTAGAAGGGGAAGGGGAGAGAGTAGTCTCTTCCAATCAGACTGGCTAGCCCATTGCAGCAGCAGAACGGACAAACACAACAGTTACTATTGAATAAACGTCTTCCGAGATGCTCTCTCTATTTGCAATGGCCCAAACCTTTGACTGCTAATGTGGTTGTTCTTATTGTAACCTGTTTACTGAGAACAAGTGGTAGTTTTGTCTTTGCTTCCCACAAACAAGACACTTAAATTGATGTCATACACATACTAATTACCATCTGCTTGCGGCATCCATTGTAGTTAACAACAGAATGAGGATTATTATTATTTTAATTTTTTTTAATGAAGCGTTCAGCTGCAAAATATTAAGCCGAGCTCCATAGAGTCGTCTTCTTAAAAACTGATGTTCTGGAATTATTTTCCAAACTGGTTATTGTCTCAAAACTTTTTCTTAATCAAGCAACACTGGATAAAATCCAGGAGTTGCGGTAAAAGCTGGGCTTTGCCCCAAATGCAAGCGGGAGCCTGGGAATTGCAGGTGCCAGGAAACCCTTCCTAATGTTCTTTAAGTACATAACGTTAATTAAAAGGCAATGATTTAATTCCTAAGTTTTTGTTTTGTTCTAGCCTGGTCTCCTGCGCAATGACTGTGCAGAAATGCCAAGGATAATATGAAGGCATAGTTAGAACTCAGCTAAGCTCCCAAGATGTTGTTGTTTTTTGCTTGATATATGACGATATCTACTCTGCCTCTGTCTTCCTTTTTTTTTTATATTAGTTTTATAAATAAGTGCAATTAAACGTATACAAAGTCCATTACATGGCTTACATAAATCATATCCACACCACCAATCATAAGTGTTATACAAAGTTTTTACAAATCATAAATATAATACAGAGTTATTTTAGGCTCTGCCGAGCCTTGAACTTCCCTCCACTCCTTTGGTAAGTATCGAATAAGTTTTATGGTCACGTATTTTATCTCTTTTACCTAATAATCACTTGCTGTTAGAGTTATTCCAACCCCGCCAGTGTTGTCTGAAAATTGGTTCCCATATACTTCAAAAATTTGTTCCAATTGTCATGAAATTTCTGTTCGTCTTGATCTCTTAGTCTTCCTGTTATTCTAGCGAGCTCGGCATAGTTTATCACTTTAACCTGCCAATCATTTATATTAGGTATAGCCTCCGTTTTCCAGTTTTGTGCTAACATATGTTGTGGCATATAGAAATAAGATCTTATCTTCTTTTCTGATTTCTTTACCCGTCATTCCTAGCAGGAAAGCTTCGGGCTTTTTGGGAAAGGTATATTTAAGGATTTTTTTAAGTTCATTGTAGATCGACTCCCAAAAGCCTTTCACTTTGCTGCATAACCACCACATATGGTAGAGGTCGCCTTCTACCTCTCCGCATTTCCAGCATCTTTTATTTTTCAACCTATACATCTTGGCCAGCTTCACTGGCGTGTGGTACCACCTATAGATCATTTTCCACAGATTTTCTTTTAATGCCGTACACGCCGTGAACTTCATGTTAGTATTCCACACTTCCAGCCACCTCTCGAAGTTGATGTTATAACCAATATCTATCGCCCCTTTAATCATGGCCTCCTTCACCTCCTCGTCTTTTGTGTGCCACTCCAGTAGAATATCATAAATTTTAGACAGTATTTTATTCTTACCTTCTATCACTTCCACATTAAATTTGGATTTTTTATCTTCAAATCCTGATTTCTTTTTATCTTCCTTTAGCAAGTCATTTACCTGGTGATATTGCAACCACCCCGTAAACGCGTTTTTTATCTCTTCATACGGTCTAAGTTTTATGCCTTGATCAGTTTTCTGTGTAAGTTCTTCATAGGTGGCATTCTTCCCTTCCATATTAATTTTTTTAACAGTTAGTACCTCTATTGGTGAAATCCACCAAGGGGTCTTCCTTTCCAATAGGTTTTTATTTCTTTCCCATGCTTGGAGTAATGGTCCTCTAAAAATATGGTTTAGAAAGCCTCTATGTACTTTCACCTTTTCGTACCACAGGTACGAGTGCCACCCGTACCTGTTATCAAAGCCCTCCAAGTCCAAGATATCTCTATTCTCCAATCTTATCCAATCTTTCAGCCACAGTATACACGCCGCTTCATAATATATACTTAAATCCAGTAGGGAGAAGCCCCCTCTTTCTTTTTTATCTACCAGTATTTTCATTTTTATTCACGGTCTTTTTCCCTGCCAGATATACCTCGCCAAGGCTCTTTGCCATTCTTTACACTGCTTTAACCCTTTAAGTACAGGGATGGTTTGAAATAAGAATAGCATTCTGGGGAGGACATTCATTTTAATAACCGCTATCCTCCCCAAGAAGGATAGTTTCATTCTCTCCCAGATTTCTAAATCTTTCTTAATATCCTTCCAAGTAGTCTCATAGTTATCCTTGTATAAGTTAATGTTTTTAGTTGTAATC